CCATTAGCCAAAATGTGATTTAGGGACAAAATCAAAGTTATTTATTAATCTTTTTAATAAATATTGTGTTTCTTTTTTTCTTAGACTTTCAAATCAATGAGTATATAAAGGTCAGCTCAAAAGCCTTCAAAAATAAGATATCATTCAATAGAGATGTATTAGGATCTGATCTGCAGGTTTTTTCAGTCTTCACCTCTGAAATTAAATCTAGGCATTCTCATTTCAAAGAAAAGAAACAGAAGAGTTTCCTCAATTAAATAAACGCATGACTTGACTCATTCTGATTTAACAGAAAAAGTGAGTTGGTTCTGGTTTTATATGTGAATGGAAACAGAGGAAAAAAAATCTGTAATACTCAACTTATGGAACTGGGGAAAACAAATCCCACAATGTGTGATTCCCATACCAAGTAAATCAAGTCTCTGCTGATAGAGAAGTTCCTTGGGGCCCTCTAAAAGCATTTTCTAGTATTTACTGTTGCCAAATAAAGCCTTTTAGCATTGTAACACTGTAAGCATTTCCACTATTTCAATGTTCAAAACTGTCAAACCAAACCTGAATTTTCAGATTTAACAAAGAAAAGAATTCTTGAATTCTCTGGGGCTTACGCAGGCAGCTGAGCATCTAAAAAGCTAGCCTCGAAAAGCCAAGAAGCCTCGACATTAATGCCATGTTCACCATCATGTTAAAACTCAGAGGAAGAAGCTACTTTCCAACTTCTTATTTATTTATTTATTTATTTTTAACAAGATACCACTCACTACCTCTAAAGTCAAATTCCCTGTTGAAGGTGGACAACTCAACCTTCTTCAAGCAATTATACAGTAAAATATCTGACCAACAAAGGAAAGAAGGTCTGTTAGAAAGGTCTTTTTGAAAATATTGCTTCAGCAATTAAGTCGAAAAACAGATAGCTACAAAACAGATGTAATTACCTTTGACTAAAACAAAAATAAAAAAACAGAGCTGTGCAACTATAACATAATAGTTAGCTGTTAAACAGTTACTAAACACATTTATCATAGCTAATAATGACAAAGACAGCAAGAACATTTTTTCAATTACATCTGGTTATAGGTATGATCTAAAATATCCACAGCTGTCAGTCTGTCATCTTCATAAGTACTAGAAGTTCAGTTTAAAACTTGCTATCTGAAAGGTTTTCTGTCATTATGAAAATGTCTATCATCAAGAAAAAGTCAGTTCCAGAGGGAAATAACTAAGAACAATAAGAAGAAATTGTACAGAGGAATATTTAGACAGAATTGAAGGCAAATTTTCAAATACCATAGATTGGATAAGGACACTTCCACTGTTCAATATAGCTTATTGCATTAGGCAGAATCACATAGATTTCACAATATATATAACCAAAATCTATTCTACATCAGGTAAAGAACTGGAGAATATTCCCAAATGGCAGCCCAACTTTTAAAGATAACAAAATATCCAAATTTCTTGAATTTTATCTACAAWCAGTATTAAATTTGACATTTACAATTGAAAATAAACAAAACATTATACATCTATTGGGTCTTTAATACAAGGAATCCATGCAATAATTTAATTGGTAAAGATTAGGGACATGGAAGCAGAAAACTTGCTTTTTTAAAAGATAGGAATTTTTGGAAGATGTCTAATAAGAGCACTGAATATTTTATTAAAAAAAAAAAAAAAAAAGCAGAGTTCTTCCAGTTTCTTATACAGGGACTGTGCAACATAAAACCTTCCTTGTCAAGAAGTTATTTTGGTTTCCCAAATAAATTTAAAAAGATAACATCCTCCTCAGTCAACTATAACATGTAAAGTAGCATCTGATAAAGACCTGAAAATTCACCAGGGAGTAGCAAACTTCTTCTATATAGTATGTAATGATGAATTAAATAATATTCAATGAGTTATTTTCTTTTTACAACCTCCTGGAATAAGATGGTTGGAGATTCTTTATACGATGCTGAAGGTAAAACAGATGAGAAAACACACAGAAGTGGGAGAGGAAGAATTAATACCAATAAGAAATATTGAATAAAAGTAGAAAATAATCACTATAACAGTGACGTTTATATAGAAATGTATCTATGACTCTTCTTCAAAAAGAATGATTCCTGCCAAAACCACTACCAATAAACGTAAAAGTCTTTTTTTTTTTTTTTTTTTTTTTTTTTTTTTTTTTTTTTGCCATTTGCTACATTAGTAGAAATAATACTGAACAAATGAAGACTCCTTAATACAGTCATTTTTACTTCTAATATAGCAAGTGTTCAGGATATTCTTCACTAGATGTTTAAGGGACAGTAAGTTTTTTTGGGTTCATCAATAACAGCAGCCCCAGAGTCTCATCAGCAATGACCACAGGATCAGTTAAAGAGCAATTAATCTATCATAACAACTTCTATGTGCAAAATATTACAGAAAAAAAAAACATTACTGATTTTATTTACAAAAACTGAATGTCAACATCAAACAAACCCAATTTAYCAATGACTCTTTGCCAGCAAGTGGTGATTCACTAAGACAGCAAGTGAATAAACATTCCCTTAGAAAAATAAGAGTACAAAAAACCATAACTTGGCAGTATCTCCCTCTCATTAATGTGGACATTAATTAACATGGTTATACAAGAAAAGATATGAATTAAATATGTCAAGATCTCTGAATTGTTTGAATTTCTCTTTGTTTAAATAATCCTAATATTTAAATTAGTTTTTTTTATGTAACTCTGTGTTTCAAACAGAATCCCCACTGAACACTATGACTGATAGGCACACAAAATTATTATTTGCTGACTGCTTATGTAGCTTCCTTATAAAACCTTCATTTAAAATAGAGATGTAATCCTTTATGTAAAAATATCTTTAAGAAGTCACAGTCTCTGTTAATCAGGCAAGTACTTATCCTATTCTCACACTAACAATCAGATTTTACATAGTAGCCAGCTCATCAGGTTTCTGATTTCATTTTAAGCCTAGAATATTAATACAAATTAAAATAAGCAGAATATCCAGGACTTCAATTTAGAAAAGTTATATGCACAGTACAGAAAATAAACACTGTTGTTTCACTTTACCACTGCTCTTGCAGGTCCATAGAATACTATTATATTTCTGGCTGCATTCCTTAAGTCTTTCATATTTAGGGGAATTTTTACCCCAGTTTTGTTTCACAGGATAGATTTTTGTGTTTCATTGTTGCTGAGTCCTATCATTTAACCTTCAGATACTAGTTTTGTTACTAGCATCTATTGTCCCTAAGAAAAACGTTTTTCCTTTTTTTACTGGGAATAAGTGCATACAATTTTAGCACAATGGTAAGCACTGAACAAATACAATTCTGTCCTTTGTGGTCAACTGCAGGAAAAATAAACTAAGTTGGCATCTTTTGGTGGGAAGTCTACCCAATAGCACACTGAGCCATGTTCCAGTTGCTCACAAACTACGAAGTGTTTCCATCTAGCCAAGCAACCTTGACCATTTTCCATCCTCATTTAGAAATTTACTGATATTATTCCTCCTAAATTCCTGTTTCATCTCCATTTCTGCTCCAACAAATCTATGTTCATACGATTACTCCTAGGGTGAATTATTAAATCCAAATTACAATTATTCTTCTCTCTCACTAGACTTTTTAAGTGCTTCTTTGCAATCTACTTCTGTTCATGTCAATCGCATGCGAGTGCACTCCCAATTTCTGCAAGAGAAGACGTGTTCCAAGAAGACAGCTCTTACCCTATTTGTACTATCATAATTCTGAGGTAAATCATACGGCCTTCTTGGCAAGCACTTGAAGTAATACCAACATTCTTCATAAGAAGATCAATCTTCCATAAAAAGTATTCTAGACACATGGCAAATTGGGGCAAATGGCAGATCTGGGCCAGGCTGCTCCATCACTGCTGATATATTTGACATGGCTTCAGAATTCTGGCCAGCTTTAGGAAGTAGTAGACACTGTAATTTGTTTTAATGCCACAAGCTGTATTACAGTTGCATTAATTGAAAATTATACTATCCAAAAAAAAAGTAGGCAATCTTGCATATATTGCAGGCTAATTAACTGGACTGCTAAGGGGGGCTGTATCCATAATACTGGGCAGGATGCAAAATTGCTATTACACAATCATAAAATGCTAAAATTTCATAGGCAAATGTACCACAGAAGTAAAGTGGAGGCCAAAAACAGATCTCCCTTGCTTTCTTAACAAAATACATGGCAGATCTGTAGCATTCTTACTAATAGCATATTTATTAGAATAAAAGAATGAAATTTTAACAACGTGAAAGGTGTAAATAAAAAACTAAAATAATAATAATAATAAGGTAGTGATTCCTGTACTGCTCCAGGCAGTTTACAGTTTTGTACTGCTGGCACAGCTCATATTTTGAAGTCAAATACCTTAAGGGCCTAATATAATGTATTTATTCTTTTAAACAGCAAGCGTCCATCTGAAAAACACCTAAAATGCTCATTTGATGAAAGTCACACCGAACTCCATGTTAAGCAGCCTATTCTAAACTGTTTTTATAATGTAGTATTTACCATAGATTATTTCCTTTTCATTTTATGTATTAACAAAAATAACAAGATCACTCTTTTAAAACATATATGCACTTATATCAGCACAACTATGTGTTATCCTTACCAAAGGTTAGTTCCAGTGGAGTAGCTCAGTGCTCAACCTGACACAATATTAATTATGGATAAGTATTATTTTCCCTGTATGCCACATGTTACATCTGATAAATTTATAGGTTAAATGTGAATTGACAGATGGTCTTCAAGGAYTGGATTAGGAAGAAAAAAATATGTCAATGAATAGAAAATATATCACTTTAAAACTATTAAAAAATGAGAAAGCTGAATAGAATGCAAATAAAGTGAGACTTTTCACACAACATGAAAAAAAAAAAATTAGCTGTAGTTACCTAAAATCAACCAGTATCAAGGCAATCAGCCGTGTAACTTCATAAACCATATATAAAAGAAAATAGTTTATTTCTAACCTCCGCTGCTAGCTGCTGGAGAGAAGGTGATGCRACAGGTTGTAAAGTGGAGTTGCCTTGGACTGGATTATGGAGGCTAACGTAAGCCACAACATTTCTTTGAAGAACTCTCTGGAGATCCTAGAAGGCAAGTAGAGCAGTGGTTATTATTATGCATTGCTATAATTAACATTTGCTTTATTATTTCAGTTCTTTTAAAAGGAAAAACCACACCCCGTGTTTTTTGTCTTCTGCGGTTTGCTGAATATTACTTAATAATTCCTCCAGCAATATGGTGTTAAGATCTTCAAAGGGTATCTTAGCATTACTTCTCTCTATAGCAGAAGTTGCAATTCCATTTCACACATCATTTCAGCAAAATACAAATAGGCCTAGAAGGAATTAAAAATGACTACACTTTTAAAGCCCCCAAATGAAAACATTACATAGTGTGAAACAACATGAAGGCCTGTTAAACTCATGCCTGACAGAAGAAAAACTTCAAAAGCGATCATTATCAGCAGCTAAATGTGCTTTAATTTTTAGTGTCCAATTTCAGATGTGAATTGCCTAACTTTCCCAGTGGTGYCATTTTATTATGTTTTAAAGTAGGAAAATAGCATGTATGAGCTGTTCCAATTATCTTTTTTTTTAAAAAAATCACCTTTGCCACCTTAGCAATAAGTTCCTCTTTGTATGAAGAGGAGGAGAACCACAGAAGAGGTGCAATGCAATTACATCTAATGCAAAGGTGATTTGAAGTGGAACTAAATAAATTTTGCTTCCAGTTTGGATTTTTTTCAATTTGACTTTTTCCACTCTATTCTTGTTTTTGAAGAATAATCATGTTTGGAATACGAAACTTAGAAAACAGCTAGCTGCTCCTCACACATGATAAAAGTTAACTTTTCATTYTATCTATTGTTTTAATTCAGCAGCAATGTGTGATCAGCATGACTTTAATAAGTTATTTTCTTTCATTGGGATGATTTTGATTCTGTTGAAACCAACAACCCAAGGAATTGTCTGTGTCAGACTGAATAGCTCCTAAGCACAAACATGTGATAGGCAAATCAGAACCTATCACAGAAACACTGAAATGCTTATGTATGTAATTATTTTGGTATGATATGGTTCTCTTCYATTCCTCCTCTTTTTAACGGTTGGGTTTCCTCCAGAGAAACCCCATCAATGAGAAATATGTAACCGCTAAACCACCAACAAAGAAAGATGGCATCTAAAATATTCCTGGTTTTAAGGTTTTTTTCTCAGACTATGCTCTCTTTCACAGTCCTGGATTAGCAAGGGAAATCAGCTCATAGGGGCTGTTGTATATAACCACCCCAAAACCTTCTCAGCTATAGAACACCAATATCAGCCCATTATCACATGTTCCACGGAAAAAGCCTGCATACATATTTTCATTGCATTTCTTACGGTATGCACATGGTAGGGGATACTGCTTTGGTATATRCACAGTTGTCGCACACCAGTTAATGGATAGTTCTATACACAGCACTATTTCACACTAYGTTCATGTTCATTTCAACAAAGGTCACAATTACTACAGTGCTTCTTTCTAAAATCTAAAATAAAATGATTTTACCTCTCCCCATTCATAAGAACCGATGTTCCCAAACGATGTCCCTCCCCATGAGCAGAAAACCATGGTCCGGTCAGGTCTCCAACCCCTCTTAGCTTTCAACATCACAGCTTCTATAAGCGCAGTGATGACTGCGGTGCTACTGGCCCACTCTTGTCCACCATAGCTATTCAAACCGTTGTGATGACTACCAATGATGACGTATCTGTCTGAAATGAGGAGAAAAGGGAAAGAAAAGGGAATCTTATTTCTCAAGAATACTATTATTTAAGGAAGTATAAAAATAAAGGGTGAATTTTATTAGTGAGGTCATTAACGCAAATAAACGCTGACAACAAAAGTTTGTATGATCAGGTGCAAGACACTTATATGGCATAAATATATAAAACTGAATACAACTTAAAATATATTAGTAAATTTCCCTAAATTAAACACTGTGCTGTCCCCTTCATTCTTTATTATTGCCTCTTCCCACAAATGTTATTTGCTGTTTTAAGCAGGGACTTCTGTCATATGCATAATGTAAAACCCTTCCATGCTCATGACAGAATGTTACAAAAACACACAAATGATATTGTCAAACACTGTCCGCAGTGTGTACTAAATATTAAAAGAAAAAAGAAAAAAGGTAGGTTAACACAATGAGAAACAAAAAGAAAACACACGAAGTATTTGTACTCCCTCACCTGGAAGACTGTGCTCAGTGCTCACCGCCCTACCCCAAAAAAGACATTGCAGAAACAGCAGTTGAAGCAGGTAACCAGAACGGTTAGAAATCGGGACTTAGACTTCCATGTAAGCAACATTGTAAAGACCCGGACTGCAGGTTTAGAAAGAAGACATGACAGAGGAATAAAAATAATGAATGATACAGAAAAGKTAAGTCAGACCTATCCACTTTGGTGATATTGGAAGAAAGTGTTCTATAAAATGAAAAGCAAGAGGTTTTGACCTGAAATATGCAAATACATATAACTAATCAGACGAATTTTCTATCAAAACATATAATACATAATCCAAAACATAATTAAATCACTGGTCTCACCGAACTGCTCCAAGTAGTCCACACAAGGTCATGCTGAATGACTTAGCTATTAGCCTTGCTGTGCAAGGTCAGGTCACACAGGAATCCTTTCTGAAGGATTCCGTACTGGGGGTCTTTGATAGTTAGCAAAGCCTCTTTGTGAAGTCCAGATGTTGAGTTTTTAAAGGTGTTTTTGCATATTTCAGGACTCTTTATCAAAACAGAAGTGGTTATAAAGCAATGTCAGAACAACAACAATCTCCAAGTGTGATCCGTACTTCAAAGAGTGCAAAGTGTTTTGGTTTTCTCTTAGTAGGCTTACTAGAAAAACAGATTCATTCTTCACTATGTCAGTATGTCAAAATAAAGCAAGACATATATATGATAAAATGCCCATTTGCTGTAGTATTTACAAATTAAAATATATTTTTGGAGATACTACTGCCTATGTAAACATATTTTACTGGACACTACATACTCAGATTATAAAACTGTTCTTCAGCAAGCTGGACTATTACCAGTTTTGCTAATATATAAAAGTTACAAAATATGCATATTATAGTACATAAACAATATTTTATATGGGATTGAAAATGCTTTTAAAACAGATCTGGTATGTAGCTGTAACACAACATTTTCAATCAACTGCTAGCGGATGTTGCTGAGATGAAAATTTCATCGAGTGACAGGACTGGTAAGTTTTACATCTTGTGAGCCAAATAGAAATCTGAGAGAACATAACAATTTAACATAAGAAAATACTATCTCACTAATATAAATCAGATGTCTATGCTGCATCACAATAAAACCAATCATAGGGTACACTAACAGTGAAAAGCCACAGGAGCTTAAACTCAACTGATGTTAAGAATCAGGAGCAATAATACACTGAAAAGCTGTTCCAAGCTTCCAGGTGGTTGCGGATAGTACCAGGATGACCAGACAGGATCAATATTTGCCTCTACGAGCAAAATATATGAAAGGAAGCAGAAAGAGACCTTCTGAAACATAGTACAGGACATGTTGGAGAGGAAAGGTATAAGCAACAACCTATTGTAGAAAACTCCAGGAGATGACATGATAAGGAAAAAGAAAGGACTAGAGACAGAAAAAATATCCATCAGATAGTCCTGAAAGGGAGATGCTAGTGTTCAGAGTAGTAATGGCCTGGACAAAATAATAATAATAACAATAAATTGCCATTAAAAAAAAAAAAAAAAAGTCCTTACACTGTCTTCTCTTGTTTTAATTCCATTTTTAACCTTGTCCAACAGGGCTATAACACCAATGATAAGCTTTCAGGTTTTTAAAAGGCTACCTCAACCACCGCATTTCTTTTGCTCCCAATCTTTCAACCTTTTGGTTAGATTTCAGAAGTTCTGCTTCTTTGTTATTCCTCAGTTCAAATGTCAAACAAGATCACCACTATGTGTGTGTGGAAAGGCAGGGTCTTTTCAAAAAAAAAAAAAAAAATCTACCTGTGATGAAACTCTACAGACAAGTTGTACTGAAAATATTAGTTGACTTTCTGCATTTCTCAAGGAGAGTACGTCAGTTGTATAGAACAAACAAACAAAAATTCATCAGAATGACCAAGGATGAATGCTATTAAAACAMTGAGTATTATAACAATTGAGAAGGCATAGCTATAGTTTCTAGGGGGAAAAATAATGAAATATTTAATTTATGTCTATATTAGAAGACACTTGCTATAGTCCTTACTGAGGAAGGCATTTATGGGATTAACTGTRGGCATCTGAATACCATTAGAGACCTCACTTCATTATATATCCTCAAAATTAACCATACCTTTGCACCTTTAAAAAGCAGCATCTTAAAACGACTGCAATAACAAGATGAAAGACTCAGGTACAGAGAATATAAAGAATTTATTAACAGAAATTGGTACTTTTGCAATTGAGCAGGTGAAGTATGTCTAAACAAGGCAGTTTCCACCTTTCAAAATCTGTGACAGCTATTTGCAAACCATTAGCAATGGTAAAAACTGGAAACTTTAATTCTTTCATTAAATTAAAATCCCTTACTGAAATTAACTAGCTACAATGCTCAGCTATGTTGCTTAGATTTTTAGACAAATTCCCTTGCAGACAGTAAACAAGATACTTGGGATTCCTATGATGCCACGATTCTCATAATTACTACACATATATATTTACTACACATATTTGATATCAAATCAGAGATAGGGTTTGTGTTTTAAGTTACAACTGATGTTAAGGTCTTGTTTTAATYTTAGACATAGAGAATAGTCAGTATTTCTAAAATTGTATGCAACTAGTTTAAAGGTGTGGTTGTAACACAAAATAAAGCTGCAGAACTTAAAATTTGGTTAAGAATTAAGCACAGATGTTTGTACACTACAATCACATTCAATATTTGAAGGCAGAGATCATGCTACACTGTGGTTTCACTAAGACTTTTCAGTTAGGCATGTGTGTTGGGGATTTGAATCGTAGAGCGTTTTCAGCTCATAAATATAAAGCAAATCCCCGCAAATCATCCTATTTTTTTCCGGTGTAGATCCTACAATAAGGAAAGCCATATCTTCCTAGCAAATGTGCATGTTTATTTGTTACATACATATATTATGTATTASAAAATTTTATAGAATTATAAAAACGCGTTTGCTAAAGTCATCCAGACAGCTCACATAATAATTCAAAACATGCAACAGAACACTTTCTATTATTAAAGCCAGGAGCATAGTTACTTGGTATAAAATAAAATTACCATCTATGCTCCAAGTGTAATTCCTTCTTTCTGTGTAATATATGCTCATTTTAACTATAACATCCCCTTGAGCACATTCTCTGTGTAATTCTTATGGTGAATCTTACCATAAATCAAATCACAAAATCTCTGCAACAAAGACTTTTTTCATCTATACGTATATTCTGTAGCAAAAGAGAAACCTGCTCCCAGCCATGACTCCCAGCCATCATGAAATAACTAATCAACACAAGTGATAAAGGGCTACTTACCAGGAAATACAGTTCCTTTTAAATATCCAATAACATTAGAAATTGTCTTGTACGTGGCGACTGACTGAATATTCAGACTGATTATTTTTTTGTCTGTAAAAAATTTTAAAAAAGAGGAAGAAAACTAAGAACGTGCCAAACTCCTGTTTATCCAGTCAAGAAATCTACAGACCACAGAAAAACTCCTCATGCATTAAAAAAAAAAAAAATAAAGAAAAGAAAAAGAAACAAGACATTGAAGCAGCAGCAGATTAAAGCATGAAATCATATCACACAATTTTCCTAGTATCATTTTAGCAGCAGGGATTAAACCTGAAATTTCAGAAGCAGCCTCTACACTTCTGGAGTTAAAAGATCATTCAATTCACTCAATAAATGCTGACACAATACAGCAGGGACAGAAAAGGAGGCAGATTTACATACTCTTATGATGTGGAGAACTGTTTTAATATTAAATTTAAGAGGAAATAGGTAACAGCTTTAAGAGATAACAAGTTAGACGTTTACCTAGCCTAAATGTTCACCCAAACAATCTGTTGATAGGATTCAAAAATTTCTGCCTSATTTATATTAGACACTAACTCTGCTGCAGCCTCCGGCAGAGCAAACACCACAGCTAATGACAGGCAGAGGTGGCCACCTCCACCACGTCCTGCCCGCGTTACAACAGGCTGCATTCATCTCATCTCAAAGGTCAGAACTTCCATCAAAGGAAGGGAATTTCTCAAGAAGCTCTCACATAAAGACTAGCAAATTGCCTGCCAGTGACCACTGTGCCATCCTCGATTCTTCTCGGAGGTTCTCCTGCCTCCATGCAGGATCCAACCACCCTGAGTGTATTGAATCTATTTCCATGTATAGAAGTGTAAAATTATAAAATTATCAGTGCCAAATACGTCAAAACTCTTAAAGCAATGCTTCTTCCAAAGAAAGCCTTTATTGTGTTTATATAAGCAATACATATTTTTTTCCTAAAGTTTGGTACTTCTGATTTTTTTTATATACTAGCTTTTGATTAACGAACTATTGTTGCCTAATAACATTATATCTGTTTTTATATATATTTGTTTGTCTTGAGTCTGCAARCCTAGTCTTTTTTTGAAGAGTTTTATGAATTATATTTTGGCTATTCGATCAAATTTTCTGATTCAGAGAAAGGAATCCAAAAATAAATCTATTCAAGATTTTTTTTTTTTGAAAATAAATTATGTCTAAAATAAATCTCTTTAAGGAATCTCTAAACCAAGATTACTTAATGTGAAGCAGAATAAATGTAGCATATTCTATATCCAAGGCAGTTATACCTTTTCAGAATGGTTCATCTTTCACAGCTGAATTCCACAATCTCATATTATTTTGCAAAGAAAATCTTTTCCAAAGATTGTTGATCCTACTGCTTTCTAAGCCACCCAGTCCTAAGCATTGCACAGCAAAGTAGGGACACAGAGCAGCAATATGAAAAAGCATCTTGATCAGTTATAATTCTGGTAGAGGAAGCACTGAAAATATCAGGTAAGAGTAGAGAGGTAAATCACATCAATAAAAAAAAAAAAAAAAAAGTTCCTGCAATTTAAGCTTATTTGTTTCCATGCACTTCTAATTAACAATGAGAACAGAATTTAAAGCAATCCCAAAGCGAAAATCTGAGAGGATTACTGCTTTGTGTTTTAATATACGGTATGTCTATATTCCATCTGCTTCTCTATTTTAAATATACTTGCCTGAAATGGTGGCAATACCTGGAGAAAATTGCTGCATGTCTACTGCTAAGTAGAACAAATATCAATTTGGTCAATACGTACATTGCCATACTCCATGTTTATATCTTTTTCTCAACTTCTTTTCTTGGGTTTATATTCAAAATAGTGCAAATTCATTACACTGAGAAATGATAGAATTCTCTGTATACTGATATGACAGCACAAGCTTGAGTTTACAGATTATGGTATTCTTTTTTTCTAGCAAGTAAGCAGGCTATGAAGGAAAAACACATATAAGAGCATCACCAGGCTCCAGCCTGATGCCTCATGTGAGAATATCTTTCAACTTGTTATGCCCTTCTCCCCACAGAAAGGACAAGAGGCTTGATTTGCACTAGGGTGCAGCACTTGTCAGAGAACTTTATTTATATACATACTGCTTGATATTGTCGCAGTTACTTAAGCTGCAGGTGCTTTGGTTTTACCATTCTGTAGATTAAGATATAAAATAAATACATTTACTTCACAATGAAGGATATCAAGAACACTTTAAGAAATCCTATCTTCTGTAGATGTTAACTATCTGATATGCTTTGAAATAACACACTCTCCATTTACTTGCTTGATCCAGATGGAGTGCGACATAGGGCTGGATTTGTCAGGCTGCTACAGTAACAACSTGTCACTGTTAAAATCAACCATTTGCTTTTCACTTCCTATATTTTTAAAAAGATATTTATCCATGTCAACACAATTCTTCTTAAATCATGCTATCTTGTTTTACCTAAGAGCTTTTGATGGGATCTCRGTTGAGAATCTTTCCAGTAATATCAACTTGATATCCCTATTTACAAGTCTGAAAACTCAAATTTGAGAGATCAATTCAATCCTTGAAAAATATACATCTTTTTCACGTGTATTTCATAGGAAAACTGATTCTGTGAAACCCTCACATTTACCCTTCTCCACCGACATGTAGAGACTACTAGTGAAATCCTATATTCCCTAGTATTTTATCTCCATCAGTGTGAAGCACTGAATAAGAAAACTCACACTTAAAGCCAAGGAGAAAAAGTAAACACCTAATACTTCTAAGAACTTGTCCTTAGTCTATGAGACTTTTCAATTCAACACCAAAATACAGGGCCAGAAACGATGAAAAGGCATCTTGTAAATTAAATTACACTAGTCAGAATTCCTTTAAATACTCAYGAGATGCATTGGGATGAACTACAAATGACTGAAATCTGCCAACTGGCAGATAACTGAACAAACAACAAATGAAGTTTACTGCAGCACAGCAGTGCAGCCTCGTTTATGTTGATAAGAATGTTTTGGTTTTACAGCAATCTTCAAAACACTCTAGCAAAAATCCTGCATACGTTCCGTAAAGAATAAAAGCCTTGGAAGTATATAGCTTCTCTATAACACTTCTCTCTCAAATTCTATACCAATTGCCCATTTTGGGGAACTGTTCAAAGCAGCAGAAAATTACCAATTAATGAGGATTAATAAGGCTGCACCATAAAAAACAAAAAGCAACTCAATTTCGACAACTAACTTGTCTCACTGTTTATTTGTAGGTTTTAAGTATTTGATATGTCTCAGATGTTAGTCTCCATATCCTCCTACTCCCTCTGTCACATTATGTCTCTTGAAAACTGCAAGGCTAAGGGAAAAAAAGAGGCAATGTGAGAAAACTATATATAAATGTTTAATCATTACTGATGAATATGCTGTTCAGCTTTTTGAAACATACTGATGAGAAAATGATGATCATTTTATTCTAACAAATTTTAAGCCAACCAATCATCTGAACTGCTCATTCATCTCTTTTGACAGTTAAGTGATGAGTTCTATGTTGAAAGTGAAATATCTCTCTTAAGCTTCTCCGAATGAACTGGAAGGCCACAAATTCAGCCTTTACTGTTCTGAAATGCAATACTCTGACCAGCATAAGCTCTTTACATTACAGATTATACAATGTATACAAATACATTACAAATTATGTAATTACATTGTTATGTAAGATTTCTTATCTCACGACTAGTCCTTTATCCCTTCCATTAAGGCAGATTCTGAATGCTCTATCACACTGTATGTGTCAGCATACCAACAGTGTACCACCCATATATCAAAGCACAATATAGCATAATGCATTCCAGAATTATGCAAGGCTTGTTATTGCAGGCCCTCCTTGCTAAAATATATATATTTATATTTTAATCCCACTGGGGAACTGCAGTTAATAATCTTTTTAATAAACACCTCACATACAAGCTGTTGAATTCATGCAGAATAAGGTGGATATGGACAGATTCATGCTAGTATGAGCTTCATGCATTTTATCTTTCCAGACATTATCCACTACATAGAATTCTTGCCATCTCAGGGAAAGAAATTAGAAATGCTAAAGCTATTAAAACAAAAGTAGAATAAGGTATCCTTTAGATGATTCTATCCTTCAAAGTTCAAAATTTTCTGAGAAGCAGATTCAGTGCCACTTTTTCTCATACTAAAGAGTATTGCCAATCCAAATTCATGATTTTCTTTCAGCTGCTAAAACTTCCACAATGTTAGCAAGCTTCACATAACCTACCTGGAATAGTTATGCATTTTCCCCTTCCTGAATGGCCCTTTTCTCCTTTAATAAACTTTATCTACTGCTTGTGGGGAAGATCAGATCCTCATTAAAATATCTAGTCGACCATGAATGGAGAGCAATGGGCCTTCTTTAACTCAGTAGCTTAAGTCATGAAGCATAGGTAGGGTCTTACTGCCTTTCTTTTTAGTATGTGCAACACAAACGCCAACACAAGTCATAAAATTAATCAACCTTTTTTTATAACTCGCGTTATTGCAATTCTAATCCACATTAACTTCYCAAAAGCAATAAACAAGTGATGCAAGCACATATATGACATTACAATAACTGCCCTTAAAATGCACTTCAAATTTGCTTTCACAGTTGCCATCATTGCACTTARCAGAGGAAATAGTGTGCAAACTTAATCTGCCTTCACCCCCTCCAAAGCCATGGCTTCAAGACAATTAATTTGATAGTGGGATTTTTTTTTTTTTTTTTAATGTAAGAGCCTAGTTTTTTTTTTTTTTTCCCCCTCAAGAATTCAAGCTTAACACCTTGGATTGAGACTTCTTCCAGATATTGATCCACAATTGCTGAATGTTGGCAAATGATGTATTGTCTGCAACTGAATGTTAGAAGTAAAAAGAGTAAGGTTGCTAAAAATAAAAAAGCATTTCTAATGCTTTTAATGGCTTTTCTGAGCCTCTCTTTTAGCTCAACTCCCATTTAGCAGGTTTTTGGAACATAGAAATTACTATGTTAAACTTGTAAAATGCTGCTACACAAAACATGTAAAATAAAGGGAACATTTGCAGGGAAGGACACTTATAATCAGAAGGAAAGATACTTTAAAAAGTATTACCTGTGGCTGGCAGTTCCAGGGGGACACACCTATCTTTCCTGATGCTGTCCTCGGATAAGGAAATGAGTTTTTTGACAAGCGCTGCAGAAACAGGTTGCACTAACAGCGTTGTGAGGTTCGATCGGTTCTGTCTGTAGATTCCATCTTAAATAATACAAAATGAACAGCAATTTAGTAAATGGAATTTAGGAAGATTGATCTTCTTCACAGTTCTGAAACCAACCAAAAAAATGCATCTAACATGCACCTTACAAAATTTTGCATTTGCCCAGGAGCCTAGAAATGTGAACCTTCCTCTTTAAGCATATATGTTCAAAGTGGATCTCAAATCAGTTAAGTTGCCTATGATTTATTTTATAAACGCAGGGATGTTTTTTATGATGGATGGTTGAAAGCTTGACTGAACGAGTTCTGGAATGATTGCTCACTGAACAGACAGTTGTATGTAAAATGGGTGGAGGTACAGATCAGAAACCATCAATTCTTCAATGACATGTTTGAAACCTTAAGAAAGTACAACACAAGTCTCACTATATGAAAAAATTCCTTCATATTTTAACATCTCCCTCTCACTGAAAAGAGGAAATAGACGTTTCAGACACATGGCCTTCCAGGATTTAAGCATGGGAAGGGCTCAGATAAGATACAATATGTTCTGTGGGGCCAACTTACAAATTTTGAAGACCAACTCTAGCTTAATGCTTAAATGCTCTGAAGCAGACCRTGACAAAACGTTTGCCTGTTTTTCCCAACTCTGTCAGCCACCCTAATAAAAGCACCATCTCTTCACAGAGAAATCAAGACTACCTCTGCGAGACTCAAAGCCTACTGTGAAAGCGAGAGATGACTCGCAGTATGGGAAGGAAAGGAGCTCTAAAACAATCTTCAAAACCCTCCAAAGCTTTGCAATATGCCCGCCCATGAATTATTTGCAAAACCCCAGCTAGAATTGAGAACACAAGGACTCTCCGAAAACTCGATTAAATAAATACCACGTTTTCTCTGGATACTGAGTTCCTTGCATCCCTTTCAGTCTGTGACCTACAACCACAAGGTTAAGGAGCGATGAGAAATCAGTAGCACATATATTCCAATAAGTATTTATAAAAATTATTAGCAGGGATTCTGTTCCTGAGGTGCACTCTATAATATCCAGATGCACCCTCACTCTTCATTTTACACTGCACAGCACTGAACCCTTCCTTGGGGAAATACGATAACACACTCTTGATGTCTTTTCCAATCCTGTGTTCTGTGACTCTCCAATTACTGAATTTTCTAAAATATTTATTAAAACAGTGCTGGAATTACTATTAAAAATTGCTAAGCATTAAATGAAAGCACTGTTTGCCCTCTGCCAGACACTTCTTTAGGGTCCACAAGTGCAGCTTATTTTTACAAATAATATGAGGAAAGCTAGCTGCATCATGATCACCCAATAGAAGGCAAAGTTCTAAGTTCAATTTCTCCTGAAAAATAAAATTTGCATTGGGAGAAAAGCTCAATCTTTCTGCTCTCATTTTGGAAAAAAAAAAAAAAAAAAAAACAATTGAGCTTTGTCCTATTCCATTCACAAAAACCGTGTAACACAATTTCATTAGGAAACTAATACACTGGAAGAACTTCGCCAGCTTCTGCCTAGCTCTTCCACCACCAGATTCCTTGGAGAAGATTCTCCAAATTCTCCAAACTCGGAGATAARCTGAAAAAGGCAAAGTATTTAACCATTGTCTCTTTATTAAAGTAGTCCTCTAAAAGAATAGCTAAAATAAAACCCAAAAGTTAACAAATCCAATGAGCTAAAAAGTTTATTGATTACACTCACTATAGTAATTCCTCCTATGACTTGAAACAGTTTTAATGAAGGCCCTCAAAATTTATGATAAAATGTAAAGTCCAGCTGAACGCTAAACCATAACKGTACATACCCACATCTTTGACTTTCTGCTGCATTAATAATAAAGCAGTATTAGTTTTGAGATATCTGAAGTGAATGGCTCATTAATTTTTCACCTGAAGCTTAATGGAAATTTGACAAACAGTTTTATGCTAAGAATAGACACTTCAGGCAGGACTTTACAGCATGCTATGAGAATAAATTATAGCATAAAAGACAGAATAAAGTGCATTTGGTTAAATACGAAGATTCTCTTATTCAATTGCCTGGARTGAACATTTAGTTCAATGCTGTTTTTTTGAAAGATGCATTCTTCCCTTTGCACATTCGCAGAATATCTTCTACACGGCCCTTTGACAAGGCTAGATCTTGTGTGAACCCTCATGAAAACAAAGATGCATCAACTGACACACGGTAGATACCTATAACAATTGCACTTTGAACATATATATAGCCCCACTCCATTTCTGCTGATGGCTGCTACGCTTCCCTGGCTTCTCATGGAGCTTATAACAAAGATTTCTTTATTCCTTCTTGCAAAATCAAGTTCCCTGTGATACCTATGACGTTACCACATCCTCAGACTGAAAAAGACTGTACTAACCAGTGCCTATTATAGGGAGACTCTGACAGCCAACTGGTGACTCTAAATACTAAAATCACATTGCTATAGCTAATCACAACAACTCTGCATTGCAACAACTATTTTATCACGTCTCCAGTGTCTGGAAACTCTGAAAAGTTCCACATCTGCTTCATGTTTAGATATTAAAAGGCATCATCCCTTCTACATAAAATCAATTAGACATCTCTTCCCTCATCCGTCTAAAGCAAAGAAAATAAATGTTCCAAGAAATTTGGCAGTTTTATTTATACATGTTACAAATGGTGCCGATTATTGTAGGATTCCAAATGAAGCATAGGATGGTTTTTAATAATAGGAATGAGAAATCTGTAACTTTAGATTAGAGCCTATCTTGGAAGTTATAAGCTCCAATCAGTGCTCAAACATCTGAAACACGTAAGAACATTAACCAGAATCGACCACAAAATGCTTAATTGCAAGTTATCTAAGCTTCAAATCGGATACTAAGTATCATTAAGGACTGCAGAAATAAATGCTGAAATAAACGTTGAATTCTATTTAAATCTGTATGCCAAATCATTAATTCTCTAATTCTACAATTCAAATATATTAAAATAAAATAACCTTTCAATAAATTCAKTATCAACTATTCCTATTGAACGACTTAAGAAACAAGCAGCTTCTGTCTCACTCAAGAATTAGTAGGTTGTCTCTATAAGCTGTTCCCTCAGGAAATAAACCTTTATTTTCTCCACTCATGATGGCCAGTAAGGCAGGACCAACCAGCAAATTTGAAAATGAGACAGTGACACAGATTTCCTTCCCTTTGCTAATGAGCAAGACCACAAAAAGCAAAATAACTGTCTTGCTTAGGGTGAATTACGCTGACAGCAGCCAGAATAAGCATCACATTACACAGGCCATCCTTAAAATGAGTGTTCTGGTTATGAACAAGCAGAGAGACCTACTTACTCACAATAATGAGATTTATTGTTATTAAAAATAATAAAAGCCTTATAACACGCTATAAGGAAATTGAATGGAAATAGAAAAATCTCCAAGAAAACACTGAAAGTGACAGGTTTAGGAGACCAGTTGTTTTGTTTATAGCACATAGTGAACACTGCAATGATTCAGGCTCATGCTGTCTGAAGGCATTTGGCAGACAACATGAAATAAAATTGCCTGTGTTATCTGTAGCTTACTATGCTTCTTTCACAAAATAATATATAGCTTATTCCTCCATATTTGTTTGAGAGCATGAAAAGTCACATTTGGGCTCTAGCTTGACGATAAGTGATTAATATATACTTTTAAGTATCTCCCTTTTCCATCACTTTGCAGCTCAGTCCTGCAGTTGTGCAGTCAGTAATAATGCTAAGTAACTGCAAACAGGAGGATTTTGGTATCCTCAGGTAAGGAGGGAGAAAGTAGGGCATAAATCCCCCCAGCAAGCAAGTCTGCCAAAGGTCTRTATCACCAAACATCACTCATAGGGAGTCCCATTGTACAGGATGGGACACAAAGGGCCCCTCCTCAGCCCAGGAGGGCACTTAAATATGGGCATCAATTCCATGCACTTCAATGAAAAGCCATTCATACCTTTACAAACTCTTTTTTTCCCCCATTTTCCCTAGGATTTTTCTAATAAAATTTGCAATTTGATTTGTGATTTCTCATCACCTTAGATTTGCAAAACTATAACCTGACTCTCCTCTACAGACAAAAAAATCCTTACTGTATTAGAATGTAGCTTATAAATCAACTAATTGGTACATCTATCATACTTGCAAAATAGCTGAATAACGACTGATCAGAAATGAGCTGCTAAGCACAGGTCAGACTCTACTGGACAGATGYCCACGTGCACAGCAATGTGCAATCAGCATCAGAAGCGACATGAATCCTTGAATCCTTCTGCAGCCCAAGGACTGTTTCAAAAACTCATTCAGCCTTCTGAATAGACTTGGGGTCCCTTCACTGAACACATTGTCCCTCTTCACAGCCTTCCCATATGTTAGATTATATATGCTTTATTAATACCTCTCTAATGTTACCTCTCTACTCCTTAGCTGTCATTCTGGAAAATTTGTGGATGCTTGTTCTATTGCTCTATTTCCTTTCCCTATTATATGAGTAACAATTCTATACAAGCTGCATTCTGATTACCACATATTAAAGTATAGACTTCAGTTATTTTTTTTTCTCTTTCTCTTCTCTTGTGCTAATTAATATTTAATTAAGGTGGCCCAAACTATTTTCTCATGCATTCTGCTTAGCTCCAGAGCTTCCACTTACCACACTTATTTTCTCATCAGACAAATATTTCTTCTTTCAKGACTGTAGATATTTAGTTAGCATTTTATTTTGGGTGGTGGTGGGGGAGACAATCCCCATGCTTTCTCTTTTCACTGCCATCTGCTAAGCCTCTCCTCAGAGAAACTGGCAACTTTCCATATTGGAACTCTGAACTGCAAATATGCCATCATCTGTGAACCCTAGGAAAATAATCCCCACTGGAAAAGATAACAGTCTCATAAAAATTACCAGAAAAGACTGAAATCAAGATAAACAGAGAAAATTATACAAACGTTATACAAGGCCGTTACTGGCCCCTAAACAGAGGGGATGGGATAATAACAGAGTTCACGGAACTCTAGA